ATGCCACTGGAAATTCCCAGCACTCGTTTTGTCATTCAGTTCGAACGCGACAGCATTGTAGAAAAAATACGAGGTCAGTCCTCTGCTAATGATTGCAGGTTGCAGTGCGGAAGCACAGTTAGTTACTGTCACGTCGAGAAAGCAAACAGTACGTGGTGGATGCCAATTAACTGAAGCATCTCGATGCTCGTCGATGGTTGCAGTAAAATACTAATCGTGTAGTAATCTTGCAATGTCACGCAGCAGTTCGACTACCAAAGTCCGAGAGAAGCACTAAAAGCAAGCCTACGTTACATTCACGTTATATTTAGGTTCCTTGATCACTTAGCTTAAATTGCCGGTTCAGAAGGCCATTGATAAATGGATCTCGATCTTGTGTACGGAGTAAAATATGTTTGTACAATTGAGGAAAAAATAATTATTTAGCACGATTAAATAATCATCCTTACAGCGTATGGAATGGACTGCCTGAATCGGAGGCATAAAGAATTAGAAATGGAACGGTTCAGAGGTCAGAATCCAATCGACACTCGTAACGTATTCAACGATTTCTTTCAGTGTACGCCTTAAGCAATTTGACCGGAGTTACGGCTGGTTTTTCCAATGGCCTCATACGTCTTCAACAGCCGTTCAATTTCGTCGTACCATGTTTCAGCAGACAGTGAGGAAAATTATGCGCCCAAGTCACGGGATTCAGCCTTTGAGGAGTTTATTCGTTTCTTACCAAATCATTACCGGGACTGTTAAGAAAGTGTTTATTGGAGAAAATGATTCGGTCAGAAATTTTCGACTGCATTCACATCAGTTGGCGTTGATAGCACCTCATTAACTGGTTCGTTTAGTCATCTGCCCTCGCCAGACACATTTTCCCACGCATCAATCAACGGCAGCTAAAATTCTCGCTAATTGTGCAGTGTCTGAAACGATGCATAAATAATTATGGTGTGTCCATATTTCATTGCAATCGCCCAATGAGTGATGAATTTGATAGATTCCCGGTATAAAATCGTTCATTTCAGCTTAAGGTGTACTGAATGATGGTCATTACACGAGTAAGCTGGAAAAATATGAACGTTGATTCAAAAAATGGAAAAATGACTCCTTCCTGACGAAGTTATGCTGAACATGGCGGGAGTGGACGGGGTCCAGACTTTCACTGAAAACAACAATATTTATGCACTTGCAATCTGCTTGACGTTAGAGCTATAACTCGTCCTTAACTTGCATTAAAGCAAGTACTCTACTAAATAATAAAAATGGAAGTATTGAGGATTTTGGATTTGGCTTCTGCTAGTTGATGATGACAAGATGAACGGTAAATGAAAGACAACAAGAAAAGAAGAAAGGCGTGAGAGAACCCTTCTTGTTAAATACCTTAAATTTGACCTAATTGATCGTATAGACCGGTGTAATCAGGTCGTTTTGTCTTCATTAAACGGCGCGTAGATTCATACTCCCTCAAGAGGCTGTTGAGGTACTCGGTTCCTCTTTAACCGAGGTGATTCGCCTCTTCATCCATGATTGTTTGTTAAGTCGGTACAACGCAATGAGTTTTACACTGCGCTGATATGTACTTGATTTATATGTCAGCAAGATCTGCTTGGCGGATATAGTTGACGGGCTAGTCAGTCGGTTTCAGTCATTGCTTATCATTTCATACGGCAAAGACAGACCCATTAGGCGGTGTCTTCAGCACTGATAGAGCATAACTCAGGTCTGAAGCACAATCCTTCCGTATATTTTCCCCAGTTTGGGTAAGGCCAATAACCACTTGGGGCCGGTGAGTTAACGGACTCTACCCTAGGGTTTTATCTTCTGCAAAATTTAAGTCTCTGTCACAAGTCCGGCAACCTCTGAGACGTTACCTGATGCTACTGCTTTTGCTACCCAAGAGGATACACGGCAATCCAAATTTGCCATCTTCCTGACCATTTGTTTGGGAACATTTCAGAGAAATATTTTATGGCAAGTCAATGTGCTCCACGTAAGATCGTATAAATGCTCAGCGGAACTTCAGATGCCGAATAGTTTCACTACCACACAGCATCCCCTTGAGCCAGATAGCAAAATTTGCTCAGAACTTCAGCTGTATTAAATTAAGATGCATCACTTGATCTTTTTTTTGTAACTAGCCTCCCGTAGGAATTGTATGTTAAAGGCTGTGGTCACGGTGAATCACTAACTAGATGTTTAATAATTAAAGTGAGGGACCAACGGATAGTGCCGTCAAGTAAACAAAACAGAATTTGACAGCGAAAGTTCTCGATGTGTAGGATCCGCGTTGTACGGAATAGTGTCGATATAATCAGTATTTTGTATATTTGCTATGAAATATTATCAATGTTCATTTTTTGAACATAACAGTGAAGTGGTGTGCTATATTTCCTGCAGATAAGAAATTTACTGAGTACGGAACCATATTTAGAAGCCGGAGAGGCGACGGTCTCATATCGCTTTTC